CCGGGCGTGCATGTGTCCCTGCCCCCTGGCGCCCGGCGGGTGAACGGCCACGCCCCCTGGCGCCCAACAACCTGAAAAGGTTGGGGACCACTGCTCTACGCATTCCCATCCCTTCCCATGCTCCACAAGGTCATCATCAAAATCAGAACAGAACGAGCCAATGTGATTCTCCTTGTACCAGCGTGGTCGAGACAAAACATGGTATCCTTACCTCCACTGAATGACGATAGTGGATCCATATGCCTTTCCGCCTCAACTCCATATTCTTTCCCAGAATCACAGCAGAATTCTCCATCCTGAACCACACAAACTCCACCTCCATGTGTGGCTCCTTCATGGCTCCAAGATGCTGAAAATACCTTCTCCGAAAGAGTAAAACAAATATTAATCAACAGCAGGAAGGAATCCACCAGGAAGACTTATCTTACAAAGATAATTTTTTAAAACTTTTTTGCTCTGCAGTTTGATTCTGAGAAAAGGAGCTGGATTCTCTTATAGCTATGCAGTATTAACAGGACTATTACACTCTATTTCAGTTTCAGGGTAGAATTTTGATTTCATTAAATACAGTAGACTTATACAGGGATTAGTGAAAATAGAATTTGGTTTGCTGATTCCTTATTACTAGTGCCAATATACAAATGGGAAAATAGCTCAGCTTCTTATCAAGTTGTTAAGTCTGATGCCACTTTTTACAGTCAGTTTTCAGAGTACTCATGTTTTAACTATAGTTTTCATATTTACTCTATCTGAGATTTTAACAAATATCTGTTCTATAGAAAGGGCTATAGACTGCTTATCCCATTCAGGTGCTTTTGAAAATATCACTCTAATCATTTGATTTCTCCCAGGAATTACTTTAACTCATCTGCTTAATCAAGAAAGCTGATACTTTGGAGATGTTGGATGTTACTAATAGTACTAAGAATATTTGGTCTAATTCCCAATTAATGTTTTTATTGAAGTATAATCAGTAAAAAGATTTTCAGGCTAGGTTTGTCTCCATTTTAGATAGCATGCTGGCTGCTGGATCCTGGCTCTAAGGAGCGAACCCTTCACAACATGGTGACCAATTTTCTCCCTCACGAGCTGCCCTTGATTGAAGGGCTGGGAACTGGCCAAGGGGTTCAAAGCCTGGGACTTGGTACCAGTGCTGATTACTCTGGCCGGTACCGAGCAGCCATAGAATCTGTCCTCATTTTCAACACCATGAACCAACTCATCACCCTGTTGCAGAAAGAAAATCTAACAGGTAAAAAGGATCTGGAGGTAATCTCATGAACAGACTTACTTGTTGAGATTTTTTTCAACACGTGTATACATGCATGCACAAAACTGTTTTGAGTCCTTGTTATTTGGGCCTGCAGGCTCAGTGGTTTTGCACTGAAATTTGTATTGGGAAGTTGTCTAACTTTGTAGCACAATGTTAATAATTCTCCTGTGAAAGTAAAAGAAGGGTGTATGTGTGTGCCATGTCAGATCATGTTATTAGAGCCCTGTATCTAGTTTCTATTTAATTGTGACATATATTATGCAAGTGAATAACTTCAGGTTTTCTATAATGCCAATTATTGTAGTATCGAATATACGAAAAATGATAATTCTGGGGTTTGAAACCTTTGTTCTGAGAAATAAGCATGTTTTATTTCAAAGCTTGTGAAGTTCTGTGTTTGAGTTTTATTTTATTTTATTTTTCTGAAAAATGTAGCAGTCCTCAATACAAGGCTCTATAAAATTCCCTGATATAAGGCTCTCCAACTTCTGATTTCACTGTGTTCGATCACAAACATCTCCTTATGCTGCATATTTAGTTTTCAATAATGGTCCTAAATATTGTTGAGACAAGGTGGGTGAATTGTAGTTACTTTTACAATTGATTGATGGGACAGACAAGCTTTTGAGCTTACACATAGCCCTTCTTAGGTAGACCACCTTCAGCCAGACCTGAAGAAAAGAACTATATGCATTCAAAAGCTTGCTCACCAGCAGAAGTTGATCTAGTAAAAGCTCTCTTCCACCTTATCTTTCTAATATCCTGTGACTAACACAGCTACAACAATACTGCATACGTTTTGTTGTCATCCTGGGATTAGAAATTTACAGTGAGCGTGAGCAAGCATTGTATTGTGGGTTTATAAATCTAGTTGATGTGGTATTTGACAAATCCAGCTGTAAGAGATGTGGCAATGACATTATAAATTCATTTTCTGGCTTTTCTACTTGTTTCAGATGTTTTCCATAAAGTGGAGATGCCCACTCAATACTGCTTGGCCCTGCTGGAACTGAATGGAATAGGTTTTAGCACAACAGAGTGTGAGACCCAAAAACAGGTTATGCAAGCTAAACTGAATGAGATTGAGGCTCAGGCTTATCAGATGGCAGGCCACAGCTTCTCTTTGACCAGTCCTGATGACATTGCAGAGGTATTTCAAGGATATGGGTAGGCTGTTTGAGAGCTCTGTCAGATTAATTTCTTACATTTAGATAAAAACATTGTTGAATGGAATGTGTGTATGGTAATGAGGGAATCGCACTTTAAGACAAAGTTTAATTATTATCTAAGTTGATTTTCTTTTTCAGCTATCATAGTCCCTAATCTGTAATGTGCTGAGTGCTTCCTGCATGATACTTACCTCCCACTGACCAAGTGGAAGGTGAGGAGTTGCAGCAATTTGCAGATTCAGATCTTTCTTTTAAAGATGCCGTCAGCAGACTGACGTAAGGGGTGTACCACCTGTCAGATTGCTGCCGAATTCTGAGAGAGTAAAGGCTTGCCCACATGGAGAAATAGCTATTTCATTCTGGCTTTCTGTATGTATACTTATTCTACATTGAAATTACTTTTTGTAGTTTAATTCATTTGGATTAAGGTAAATGGCACTCTTAGTGCAAAATAAGATTGTTCACACAGGAAGCTAGTGTGGCATAGCTATTGCATTTTAAAATTATAGTATACCTTATTTTGGGCAGTAGCTTCCCCATGTAGACAAGCCTTAGAGCTGTTTCATTATTATATGAACATTGCCTGATTTAAAGAAACACTGATGTTTATATGCATGAGTTGTGACATTGTATGATAGGGCTACTCAACTTTGGAAGCCCTGGGGGCCACAGTGATGCTTGCAGCACATGCTGAGGGCTGCAACTTAAGTGTGGTTGCATAGACATGCAAATTTATATATGCAAATAGCATCTTTCACACTGACAGGCATGAATACAAAAATTAAGGCAAGACTATACAATACACAGGCCCCATTTAAGTCAGTTCTGCTGATATTAATAAAATGCAATATTTATCCGATTTCCACCCATATGACAGCACATTTAATGAGCAATGACAATCCAGGAATTTAGCTACTAAAACGCATATCAACAGAAGATCATTATATTGACTACTTTTTTTTGTTTTGGTTCCCACACGTGGGCCACGAGTTGAGTAGCCCTACTGTATGATCTGACTGGCATATGAATTTATTTGTGTTTACCAATTACTCCTGCCCTTGACATTTTAGACATAAACAAATATAAATCTTATTTTCAAAAGTTTTGAAACAAGTGTATTTAGCTTGTTAGAACCTGTGAACTCATTCATACAAATGAATCCCTCCAAAAAGACTCAAAAATCAGTTATTGATAAGTTTGCATATATATAATACTTTTCATCCAAATGGATGCTTCCTATACATACAGTGTGTTTTGATTACACCAATACATTGGAATTATCTTTCTGTTTCCTCTCCACCAGGACAATTTTTAACATTGCAAACCTTTAGGAAATTCTATACAACTGCCATTTAAAAAAAATGATACAAATATATTTTTCCTTCCTGCAAATATGGAATTTACTCTAGTTTGAAGCCAGTCCTGAACCTGGTGACCAATGTAGGGACCAGTATTTTGTGACACAGAAAAAGAAATTAAATTAAACCTTTCTAAAATAACTACCACCTTGCACGGTGTACTCTACCAAAAACTGGAAGTAGACTCGGGAAACTCAGCTATTTTGTGTCATAGGCAGAGAACAGGAGGGATTGTGATGCACTAATATCTGAGGTCCCTGCAACAGTTAAGGGATTGATTAATTAAGAGATACCAAGGTGACCCTGGCAGGTCACATTCACACCCCACAGAAGAAAGTGAAACTCCCTTAACGTCACTGATAATCTGACCCTGGGGGGAAAATTCCTTCCTCACCCACATATGACGATCAGGTAGAGCCTGAGCCTGTGAGGAAGAACCACTCAACTAAAGACTGAAGAAACACTTCTCTGTGCTTCATCAGATTACCTTTGCAGCCCATGGTCCCCATCCCCATCCCCAGCCATGTCCATCTCTGATGCCTTAGAAGGAGAGACAAACAACTAAAATCTAAACCCAGAGTGCGCTGGGAGTAAAATTATTCTAATCTCGTCAGTAAACCTTTATGATTTACAAATGTGTGAAAATTACTTCCTCTCATGCCTGCCAACTCTGCAGTGAAACACAGCAGCTATTAAATAGTGCAAAATATTATACAACAATTTAGGATGAGAAATAAACAATTGTGGATTACTCATATTACTTATTTTATTACCAGTGTGCCTGTGTATCAAATGACAGATAAATAGTTCAACATGGCTAACTTTTTAACTGATGGAAATTGATAGAAAAATCCCTATATCCAAATTATTTTAAGCTAGTCCATAAATAATTGCCACTAACTTTTTAACTGATGGAAATTGATAGAAAAATCCCTATATCTAAATTACCCAGTCGCCCTATACGCCGGAAAATACGGTAGTCCATAAATAATTGCCGCTGGTTCCTTCAGTGCAGTTTGTTCTGCAGTCTTTTCCTTGATAACATTTTATCAAGGAAGTTACCTTATCTAGAAACACAGCTCTCACCCAAACTTTCAGGGTTAGGAAATGAGATTTTAAACTACATTTTGTAATTAAAATAAGGAAGAACATGTGAGGGCAACACAGTTCTTTAATCAGCTTTTAATAACCTGAAGCATTTGTACTGGGCTTTCATTAGAATATAGGCTATTTTCATGCTCAGAATCACTTGCTGTTTTCTTCTGGGATGAAAGTATAAATATGTAACTGAAATGTTGGCCTCTTTTAGGTATTGTTTTTGGAGTTGAAATTGCCACCAAATGGAGACGTGAAAATACAAGGAAACAAGAAAACGCTGGGTTACACCAGAAGAGCTACTGCTAATGGAAACAGAGTCAGGCTGGGCAAGCAGTTTAGTACAACCAAGGTATAGTTGAAGTGTACTTCTCATCTGAAAAGTGATTGTCAAAAGAACTTTGTTACATACAGGGAGCAGACTTGTGAAGTATGGGTGTCAGATCTGCTTATTCTTCTTCGAGTGATGTCTCTGAGTGCTCCACTTCAGGTGCTGGTGCAGCCTCATGCTGGCTATCAGAGATTTTCACTAGCAATGCCCTGCTGCGCTGTGCATGCGCAGTAGTACCCTCTCGCATTGTGGTGTCCATTTACTGTGCGCATAGCACGGCACCTCCTTCTTTCCCATCCTTGGCAGTAGATGCAGCTCCAGCAGTTGCCCTTTCTTTCAATCTATAATGAAAAAATAGTTGATTAGTTAGTTTAGTTTTTTCATGATCAAGTTCTCTCAACCCCTGTTTCTTGTTTATTTAAAAAAAAAAAGACTTTCCCGCCATTGTAATCTCCCTCTTCACCATGCCTGGCTCTCCAGGCTTCATGAGGTGCAGTTCATGTAAAGACCTAATGCATTGGACATTTTGTTGTGCTTAAAATACCCAGGAGAAGGCCATTTCTCCCAGAAGTGCCCATGCTGATCTAACCTCACAGCGCAAGCAAGGCGAGAAAGAAAACTGCCTCAAAACCTTCCTATATGAAAAGTCTCTTCAACCACCCTGGGGGGGCCTGCCATCCTCAGAAAAGACCTCAAACAGGGATAAATCTTCCTCTTCAATGAAGAAACGTCTTCACTGGAGAAGTCAATTTCAAAGGCCAGAACATCTCTGGCCAAGTCATTACCTCCAATGCCTACTGCAGTTAGAACCAATACTGTTGAGAAGCTCGGCACCTCTGCACTGCACCAATAAAGGGCAGTTCAACACACAAGCATGCACAGTTGGAACTGAGGCTCAAGACACTGGCACAGACACCAACCACACTGACCCCGGACATCGCACCAACCGTGGCACTGAAAGCGGCCTCGAAGACAGCACCGAAATCATCCCATGCCAATACAATCCTCTGAACTAACAGGATTGCCACCGGCATCACAGAAGCCATCACTGCACAAATCCTCTTACAAACACGCTTCGGCACTGACCCCCTTCGCGCACACAGAGCCAGAGGTTTTCTTGGTGCCGCACCGTCCTGCCTCATCTGCCTACTCCATCTACTCCCCCAGATCGTCTTCACCATCAGTCTCCAATAGCGAACCAGACATGAAACCAAGGGGCAGCAGATTCTCATTCCAGCACTCCTCTCCCACCCAAAGATGTCCCCATGGGAGCCATGACACACCAGATCCACTTATGCACCACCTTTGCCTTGATGGTATGGCTGATATTGGCCTTACCTGCCACCACTGTACTTGGGGCCCTGGCCACCGTAGGATGCACAGTCCTCATACAGGAGCCAATATACAGCAGCCCTGTACACTGGCGAGGAGACCTACTAGATCTCCTCCACATCAGACCCAGGATACTAAACCTAGAACAGCCAACATCTGATGAGGAGGAGGAGGATAAAGCAGAAGAGGAGCAGAGATCCCCTCCTCACAATTCATCTTCCTCTCTGAATGAGACAATCATCTCCACAACCCATGCTCCTGTGGATGATCTGAAACAGTTCAGGAGCTGTTCAAGTGCATCGCTAGTGCTCAAGAATTAGACCTCCAGGAGGTCCAAGAAAAACAGCATATAGAGAATTCTGCAGCCATCCACGTCATCAAAGATTGCGCTTCCAATGGATGAGGCAAATATTCGACCTTGCCAATACCAAATGGCAGACGCCAGCGTCCATGACCCCCACGAATAAAAGAGCAGACAGGAAATATTTTGTGATGGTGAAAGATATGGATTTTCTTTTCTCACCTCCTGCCTAATTCTTTGGTGGTAGATGTGGTGCACCACAAGTCAGAGTACCCACAATTTTGTAACACAGCCCAAGACAAGGATCATAACCCCTACATATACAAGGAAGGAAAGTATATTCATCGGCGACCCTAGTAGCCTGCTGTTCCGCACTCCTAGCAGATTGACTATACAAACTTCTCAAAGCTACAAGACCTTCTGGAATTCTTCCCTGACTAAAAGTGCCCACAGCTTCAGGCCATCATCACAGATTACCATACAGTTGCCTTCACAGCACTTCAAACGGCCCTTGATGGGGCAGACTCTGCAGCCTGAAGCACAGCAACAGCTATAGTCATGCGTAGGGCCTCCTGGCTTCAAGCTTTGGGCATACTTAAAGAACTTCAGTTGAAGGTGGAGAGACCTCCCCTTCGACAGGTCACACCTCTTTGCCAGCAAAATGGATGAGGTCCTACAAACAATGAAGGAGTCTCATATTGCCCTCAGGACCCTAGACACATACATGCTATCCAACAAACATCAGAGATACACCACCTACTTAGGTCTAGAGACACTTACAGGTAGACCCAGAGATCCTTTGATTATAGGCAAAGGCAACAGACCCGCAGGTCTGCAATGTCAACACCAGCCTTCAACAAACCAACCTTCCACCTCCAAACAACAATTCTGAAGATTTGGTCTGGTCTGAGTAGGGATGTTAAATTTAGTTTACTAAACTAATCAACTAGTCAGTGGAATTTCCATTGATTAGTTGATAAATGGGGGAAACTGAAGAGCCTCTGCAGCTCCTGGCCCCAGGAGCTAACCCCTCTGTGGCTCTGCCTTTTAAATGTATTAAGAGCCGACAGGCCTGCCAGCTCTTAATACATTTAAAAAGCAGAGGCGCAGTGTCTGGGACTGGATGCAAGCCAGGAATCAGCTGATTCCCAGCTCTCACTCGATCCCCACTACCCATCTGCTTCCTCTGTCCCCCACAGAGATGGTGCCGGGGAAAACTGGCTTTTAAGCTGGCTCCCTCCCCACTGCCTCTGATAGAGGCAGCAAGGGTGAGGGAAGCAACTACTTGACTGTCCAATAAACCTATGCTTATTGGATACTCGATCAGTCACTTACATCCCTAGGTCTGAGCAGCATTGCTGTGGTGATAGCATCTACATCAAAAGACCTTAAGATCACCCACCAGCTTTGGCCCTTTTCCCATCCTCTTTCCCCATCCTGTTTCTGGGACTCCTCTCACGAGAGTCTGTTACAAATAGAAGTTCAACTCTGGTGAGTCATCACTTTCTACTCCAACAGGACAAAGCCCTTGAGAAAATCAGCGGGGCTCTTCATTTACATCGCAGAAAGATCTAAAGGATAGTCAATTTCCTCCCAATGGTTATCATAATAGATCTCATCCTGTATCCCTATCAGTTACACCATTCACAACAGAAATTGCCAGCAACCATTATGGCTTATTCCACCAGAGCTGTAGCATCAACAACAGCATTTCTCAATGTCCCACTTACAGATATTTGCAGATCAGCAACCTGGTCATTGGAGCACACTTTTGCCAGACACTAAGTTATTACATCTTACTCGATCCCAACTACATCAGTGGGGTAAGCAGTACTCTCCACTACATCTGGAACGCAGCTCCAAAGCCAACCTGCTAAAATCAGACACTGCTCTTCAGTCACCTGAAGTGGAGCACCCATAGGAACGCACGTCTTGAAGAACCATTGTTACAGCAGTAGCTGAGTAACTTTCTCCTCTGACAAAAATAAACTACATCCACCTTCTGCCCCTTTTAGCACTGCAGAACCTTTTCAGCTCTTCAAGTATGGACTGGATGCTGTTTGGCCTTCAACATCAACGAAGTTTTAACCAAATGTCATTCTTCTTCCCTCAGTTACAATTGTGCCTTAGGAAAAGACTGAGGTGTAGGTGAGGACATAACTTTAAAACCGTGAATTTGGATGCATTTAGGTCAGAAATGAATTTGGTGTGCAGTGTTTACTGTAAGCACAGAATGAGTTTTAGATCTCAGGTTAATTGTATAGAGCTAACAGTTGGAGACTCTTCCATCAATGAACCAGTTATTCATCTTCAAAGATGCTCAGATAAGATGGTAATAAATGCAATATAATGCCAGTGTAGATACACAGAAAAAAATGTAAGCGTACAGGGAAGAGATTTGCTTTGGTGCCACATACCAGATCCTGTGGCATAATGCAGCAGCTGAATTTTCCCTGTGACCATTCTTGTGTTCTATTCTTCACAGAATTTGCTTTGAGAAGCACAAGCTTGTTGCAATTTTGAAATTTAATATATTGGAAGCATGTATAAGATCTGTGACCAACAACAGGATTGTCAGTAGCTAACTGTTGTGGAATGCAGTGCTCATCCTGATTATTGGGAGCTAATTACTGCTTTTGTTGACAAATGATTTAACAGATTTATGTGTTCCTTATTTTCAGGGCTCATTAACTTGTGCGGTCTTCCCAATATTCCTTTGCTGCAATATGATAAATGTTGACAAGCAATACTGATCTCAGGAAACCTTCCAGCAGTGAAGAGATTATAGTGTTTGTAGATTTTGCTTGATATTCAGCACTGGTGTGGTACAGCAGAGGTAGCACAAAGGGATAAAGGGCAGAAGTTAAGAATACACAACTGGAGTTGCCTAACTTTTATGAGGATGAGCACTGTACTGAACTACTAGTAGTTCGGTGTCTGTACTCAGATTGTGTATAAATGAGCTTTATAAGCCATCTTTGCTTTTGCTTTCACCTTCCTTCATCCATAAATGGCATTTGACTTAAACTGCAAGGCTTTGACTGCTGGCAGTCCACTTTGTTGCAGGTCCTTGTTTGAGGACTCCTAATATATAGATAGGAAAGGAAAGAAATGGTGTAAGAACAGGATGAAGGAGAATTTAATGATGGGAAACAGAAGACAAAATTGGGATAGTGTAAGTGATAATTTCATGTGACTTATTTGAAGGAAATTTAAAAACAATATTTAGGATTCAAAATACAAGTTAATTTTAATTATTATTTCTGTAGCTGCGTGTTATAGCAGCTGTGTGTCATGGCATTCTTGCTGCCCAAACAGCAAATGTATGACAGCATTAGATCCCTTTTAATATTGAGATGTGAATATAAAAATTGAAGACTAAGTATATCACTCCCTGTAGATTATCTCTGCAGAACTGAAGAAACTCTTTTTGTAGCACTGGCAAGACAGCTTATATATTTGTCCTGCTGTTACCTTTGTAGGATATTTTAGAAAAATTAAAGGCTTTACACCCATTACCCGGCCTGATTTTGGAATGGAGAAGGATCACCAATGCAATGACCAAAGTGGTGTTTCCACTGCAGAGGGAGAAGCGTTTGAATCCTGCACTAGGGATGGAGAGGATCTATCCTGTATCTCAGACTCACACTGCTACAGGTAATGTGATGTATATGAAATCCTTTCTGGTCACAGACTCTAGCCACCTCTGTGGATGAAGAGGAAGAACTCAGTATGTTCTAACTTTTAATCCAAACTAATGATGACTCAATTAAATATAGAAGAGCACTAATTTGTATTAAAATTAAAGCCTTTAAAATCCTGAGTAGTTTTGCATGACTCCTGCAATAATACTAGTATATTGAGAATGTGTCAACGTGTAAGTTTCTGGAGTCCCCTACAAATAGTTACATCATTATGGGGGGCATCTTTAATGTTTAAAACATTTCTGGGGGGCACCTTCCATATGAGCTGCTCAAGCTACTTCAAAACACTAATTAAATAGCCAGTCTCTGTAAGTATTATCCTAACTGTTGGTATGGAAATTGAGGCACAACGGAGTGATGTCACTTATCCAAGGTCTTATAGGTTCAGTGGCAGAGCTGGGAAGAGAACTCAGGAGTGTGAATTCCCAGATGTTGCACTTTACCCACTGAACTATTATTAAATATCACCTTTGACTGTCATGGATGAGATGACATTCTTTGTTGCATTTAGTTATTTATTTGCTTTTTCCTTTTCTTATGAATGGATGTAGTCCTAACTGATTTTTTAGAGTCGTGCCATGAAGTAGAATGTGCATTATAGTTCAGTATTTTTTGTATTTGTGTTTAAATGTTTGTTATTGTGCTCTTGATCTGTAGATTCTGCACCATGAAAATCTTTTAGGTAGCAACTGAATGATTAAAAAATAGAAGTTTGAAGACCCATACATGTTCTTATGGGAGGACCCAGCAAGCAGATCCCGTTTCTCTCTTCCCATCTTTTTGCCCTCTAGCATTATTCTTCATCTTTTGCTCTTTCTCCACCTTTCTGCTGCCCCCATGAGGCAAATAGACAGGATGTCTGGTATGTGCCTCTGGCCGTTGGTAGAAAGATAGTGGGACAATGTTTCTATGCTAAATGCTTTCTTTATTTTTTCCATCCTTTCACTTTTTCCTACATGTTTCTACACACAGAGAAGCAATTTGGTCTTGTGAATACTAGGAATAAAGAGGCCTGAGTGCTGACTTGTTTGGGGTGGGTGTGTGTGTGTGTGTGTGTGTGTGTGTGTGTGTGGTTTTTTGTTTTTACTGGTCTGCCATTTGCTTTAGAGCAGGGGTCTCCAAACTTTTCTGCCCGAGGGCCGCATTAACTATCAAACAGCAGTTCGGGGGCCGACTACACACTTGAGGTCCAAATAAAAAACAATCAAAACATGGATGTTGTTTTTAATTATTTATTTAATATTATTTTATTCAGTTATTATTTAATAACACATTGATACACTACACATGAACACCTGTATTAGTGTGAATGGTGAAATTGTTTCCTGGATGCCAAAATAGCAGACATTTCTGGCTTTAGAAATCACTGTTTGAAATTGGGGGTGGTGCTTGTCCTAGTCCTGCAGGAGGGGCTCCAGAACGGGGAAACTGCTGAGAACTCATTTCCACCTGCGCAATGTGATGAAAATTGTAAGCAACATAATCCTGGCAATATGTTCAGCCTAAGACACTCACACTTGAAGAGATGTGATCGCTCTCCTATCATGCAGGGAATGAGGTGACAATTTGTAACATAGCCCCATGGAACAAGGGGCATGCATTTTAATGGGAAAAGCTGGTTTGAAAGCAGACACGTTATCACTTGGTAAAGGAAGTTGGAAAGCAGTGCCCAACGCTCCCACAGACTGATACCCGGCAGGGCGGTGCTGCTCTGGGTTGTGGATGAGAGAGACCAGACGTGGAAGGGAGAGGGATGTTTCTTCAGGGCGCACTGCAGGGACCAGGGCAGCGCGCTAGGCACGGCACAGCGTCACCCAGAGGCTGTGCCACAGCAACCAGACCGCCTCCTGCAATGGGCACCAGCTCCTCAGCCCCGCCCCCGGAGAAGTAGCCCCTCGCTCCTAGCCCCTGAGAAACCACCGTCGGGTTTCCTCCCCTCCGTCCAGCCTCCCGCGATCCTCTGCCACCGGGTCTGGTCCGGAGCCCGCCTTAGAGACCCCCCTTTTTCGCCCGCCCGGCCAAGCGGCACGCGGAGCCGTCCCTGACCTGGGCTACCTGCTGTCCCGTGCGCGCGCTGGGGCCTCGCGCAGCCGCCTGCGAATCCGTTTCTCCCGCTGACACCAATGCTCGGACTCAAGCTCTCTCCTTCCACCGCCGCAGCCACCCTCCGCCTGATTGGCTCCGGTTGGTGCACGCGGAAGAAGGCGGGGCCAGACAAAAAGGTCTCCACGGGCCGGATGAGAGGGCCTCGCGGGCCGCATCCGGCCCGCGGGCCGTAGTTTGGAGACCCCTGCTTTAGAGTATTGGGCAAGTCACTCACCTGTCAGTACTTCACTTGCCCATGTTCAAAGGAATTGTTTTAAAGTACTTTGAGATCTATAGAAAAGCCCTATCTAAGAGCTTGGAATACGTTTTCTTGTACACTGCCAGGTATATTGCCAGATATCTAAACCTCAGGGCAGGATATGTATATCCATTATTCTTTTTTGATGATGTGATGTGCATTCCAATATGTGTGTTTGTGCTCCATGTATGATTATTGGAAGATTTTTCCCTAGTAGTACCCATTGGGTCAGCGTTAGCGTCCTTTGTGGTGATGCCTCAGTGTCACACATTTATAGCTGACCCAGCTGACCCAACTCCCGCTTCAGTTTCTTCTTGCTGGAACAGTCCAGCAGAGGAAAGGCAGATAGATCTGGAATGGACACGAGCATCACATCTCGAAGAACAATGATTACAGAGATAAGTAATGATTCTTTCTTCTTTGAGTGATTGCTCATGTCCATTCCATGTAAGTGTGTGTGTGCCACGTGCACAGATCATTGGAAGATTTTTCCCTCAGCAGGGGAGCCCCCTGGAGTGGTGCCACTATATTGGCGCATATATACCCTTGCTGGTCCTCCACTCCCTCAGTTTCTTCTTACTGCCTGTGACAGGCATTAGAACTTGTCCCACTTACTTAGCAAGTGCATCTTAGCAATTCTCATTGTTCTTTCTTAGCAGTTCTAGTTCAGTTTTAGTGTTAGTTAGTTTGCTGTTAGTAGTTTAGGGGTTTACCGTGTACCTTGTGTGAGGCATGCCCAGGTCCCAATGCTTCAAGCCTTGTACCAAGTGCCTGATGCTGATGTCTTGTGGAGACCCCCACGAAGCCTGCCTAAAGTGCTTTGGAGAAATCCATTGTATGGATAATTGTAAGATCTGTCGGAGTTTCAGCCCCATAGTAAGTGAGAGACTCTTGGCTGAAGATCCTCCCAATGGAGGTGGCTCTTCGCCTGGCACCAGCCACTGAGACGGCACCAGCCACCCAGAGCACACTGGCTTTGGTGCGGGAGGCCCTGGGACATTCTTGCTTGTCTCCGGCACTGCTCCCAGTCCCTTGTGCCTCAGAAGAAGTGGAGACCTAGAAGGGGCAGGTCTCTGTCAAAGCACCCTTGTGCCTCAGAAGAAGTGGAGACCTCAAAGCATGCACCGAAAGTGCATCCCCAGGCAGGGCACTATGCTTAGTTGGCCACAGCATCCAGGTCCCTGGCTCCTGTTTGGCACCAGTCAAGCCTGCGTCAGGATCCAAGACCAGACGATGACCTGGCTGAGGTGGACCAACCCTCCGTGCCAGACGTGTTTGAGGTTGTGAGGGAACTCATCAAGTTAACTTCTTCCCATGCCTCTCCTTCTGGCATGGTGCAAGGATAAGAGAGTTAACCCTCTCTGGATCTGGGATATTGGTACACTGCTATTGATTTGAAAGACACCTACTTCAATATTTCAGTTTTCCACTGACACCGGAGATTCTTCCAATTTGTAGTAGTAGCCCAGAGCAATTGTATGTTCACAGTTCTGCCCTTCCAGCATCTTGGTGGCTCCAAGGATTTTCATGCAATGCATGATGGGGGTAGCACCTTGTCTGTGATGCTGTAGCATGCAAATCTCAGGAAAACTGTAACCACTGTCAAGGACTTCATAAAATCTGGTGATCTTGAGTCCAAAGTCCAACATAGCCTTAACTTACTCCAAGCCACCTGCCCGGGGCAGACCTGATAAAAGAATAGAAATCTAATTTGGCCTCCATTCTGAGAGTAGAGTTAATAGGTGCAGTGTTTGATTCTATTCATGCGAGAGCCTACCTACTAGAAATCCGATTTTGAGCTATGTCAGAGCTCATGGCACATGTCAGAGTCCATCTGCTCATGACTGTATGGCTATGACTCAGGCTATTGGATCACATGGCATCATGTACTTCCGTAGTTTGGCATGCACGATTGCACCTCAGACCACTGTTGGAGTTAGTCAGTCTACGCCCCTGACAGGCACCATTTGGATGTAATGGTCACAGTTCTGTCAAATGTGGTGTTCTCCCTAACTAACTTAGTGGACAGATCTGTGATTAATGTTGGGAGGGGTTCCCTTCATGGTCTCATTCCTATCAGTGACATTGATCTGTGATTGCCTCAAATCTAGGCTGAGGAGCCCACTTTGGCAACCTCATTATGCAGGGCCTAAGGAGGATAGGTAGACAAACTTGTTTACATTTGCAGGAAATAATGCTGACCACTTCTGATTTACAATGTCACCTTAAAATGATAGGCATTCGCATGACACTGTTGTAGCAGCTGTTGCATGATATTTACGTATCAGATGCGCTAAAGGTTAATATGTTCCTTAATGCTTTAACCACCATTCCAATGGACATGTGGCCTTGCTGGTAATGGGTTCTAAAGCAATGCAAACTGATGCACATTCATGTTCATCATCTAAGTCAGATGCCATAAGGAGAAGTGGTTTGGGCTCTGTTGTTTCTGCATTGAAGTATTGCTCTTTTAAGTCTTCTGAAAGCTTACACCACAGCTCATCCATTTCAGAATTTGGAAGGCACTTCAGGTTCTTAAACCTTGGTTTGAGTGCTGTAGCTATCTTTAGAAATCTCACATTGGTACCTTCGCGTTTTGTCAGATCTGT